ATGTCCACCTAAGAATCAGATTTCAAAGCCCCTGCTTGGGATCTTACTCATTTCATTGTAACCAGGGAAGGATATCTAGAGCAGCAAAAGCAAATTCAAGCTAGGAGGGCCTTAAGCTGTGACACAGTATAAGCAGCATGGCCTGTCACTCTGCAGTGGAATCAGTCTTGCATGACTAAATTGGGGGGAGTGGGGCGGCCTCAAACAAATAACCACGTCAATAAATACCATGTCCACCTAAGAATCAGATTTCAAAGCCCCTGCTTGGGATCTTACTCATTTCATTGTAACCAGGGAAGGATATCTAGAGCAGCAAAAGCAAATTCAAGCTAGGAGGGCCTTAAGCTGTGACACAGTATAAGCAGCATGGCCTGTCACTCTGCAGTGGAATCAGTCTTGCATGCCTAAATTAGAAAGGTCATTAATACAAATGGAGTGTGTGGCATGCTTCCCAGCCAAATCTTCAAGATTTGAAAGAAATTATTTATTCATGAGTAACTCTGTATGTACATGTGTGGAATCAGAGGACAACCTTCGGTGTCCTTCCTCAGGGTCTCTCACTGACCAGGAACTTGCCAAGTAGGCTAGGTTGGCTGGCCATAAGCCCCAGAGATCTGCCTGTCTCCAGCTCCCCAGTGCTGGGCTACTATGGCCCCTCTTTTTTTGTGGGTTTTGGGGATTGAACTTCTGAGCTATCTCCCCAATCCTGGAAGAGTAATCATTTAATAAATGATTTTTACATTGACTTTTTGTGTGTGCGTACAGGTGTGAGTGCAGAGTTGGTTCTCTTCTCCCACTAAGTGGGCTGTGGAGATCAAACTTGACCATCAGCTTTGGCATGTACCCACTGAGCCATCTCACTGGCTCTGAAGAGTAATCTTAAACATTGTTTGTCTGGGGAGCCCAGGATTCCTCCAAAGCATTTCATTAAGAACATTTATAGACATTAGCTTTCAGTGTTAGCAAGAAATAGCTACATAATGCATGATTTCACGCTTTGGATTGGCCCATGTCTGATGAAATGTCAGATGAATACACTAACTTTAATTTCAAAATGAGCCTGTAGTGTAGCTTCTGAATGCTCTCCCTGGCTCCTCTGATTCCGTGTGATGGACCTGCTGAATTAGGAGAAGTGTGTGAAACATTCCTGGGAACAAGATGTTGCCCTTTAGAGATCAATGGACTTGCACAGTATATAAGCTCCAAAGAACAAAGCAATAGCTTTAGATGATTGCTTACAAGAAGCTTTGTGTAGTCTCTTAAGCTGACCAAAAGTCATCTATATTAGGGACCAAAACTATAGTTTTGATATTCTTAGAAGATAAAATATCATTATGATATACTAAGGGGATAAAAAGGGATATCTTTTTTTTTCACCTATAGATTTTACTCTGGATTTTCTGACAGGCTGTTATGTGCTTACAAGCCCAAAATGACAGAGGTGGCAATAGCACAGTTTGGGGTGTATCACTTGCTCAAATCTGAGGCTCTTGCCTTCTCCAGGAGCTAGAAGAAGCCCAGCCCCTGGTCCTGAGCCTCCTTCTTATCTTTTTGGTATGCTTTAATAGAAGTTGGGACATAGAAATCCTTGAGATGCTCTCATTGAAACATGATGGTGGAAAAGCAGCTGCCATCATTGAGGAAGTTTTTAATAAAAAGAATAACTGGCAGGTTTGACATTTAGGAAAATCAACCTTAAAAAAGTATTAGTAAAACACCATGATTATATAGCTCACTAAGTAGGTGTATTTCACCCAAATCCTATATGGGACAACAGCATGAATTGAGTTTTGAACTGGCTTAGACACTGGACTTCTTCCTTCTGTGTTAGAGGTGTGAAAATTGTCAACTCCCCCTGTCAATCAACTGGTGAGATGACAGGAAGCATTAGAAGTCATAAGCCCTGCTCTTGGGGAAGGGGTGTGTTCTTACTGATACAGGAGAAATGGGTAAGGCCTAGATGGAACGGATCCCCTCACATCCAGTCTAATGTAAGCATAGAATGACGACTGAGATTTATACAAGTCAGAAGAGAGAGGTTGGAGAGCTGGCTCAGCAGGTAAAAGTGCTGACAAGTCTAACTCAAGTCGAACAACCTGAGGTTGAGCTCCTAAACCCACATAAAGGTGGACTGCAAACTGACTTCCACAGTTTGTCCGGACTGCCACACAAGCACTGAGGCATGCACACCCACATATACTGCTCCATACAAATGCATTTTTCTTTTTTAAAGATTTATTTTTCTTCATGTGTATGAATGTTTTGTCTGTACGTATGTGCATCACATGCACGTCTGGTCCCATGGAGGCCAGACGAGGGCATCTAATCCCTGGAACTAGAGTTACATGCATGGTGAGTCATCATGTGGGTACTGGGAACCGAACCCAGATCCTTGGTAAGAGCAGCAGGTGCTTTTAACTGCTAAACTATCTCGCCAGCCCCCAATAATAATAATTAAAAAAAAATCAGACAAGAGTAGAAGAAAAAAACAAGTCTCACACTCAACACGACTCTCTTTGGAATTCTTCATTAAGGTTTTCACAAAATACAAAGCTCAAACATAACTGTCTACATCCACCACAAAATAGAATCAAATAAGTGGTTAGCACACAAACATAATGATCCTTTTCATTTTAAAAATATAAATAACAAAATGCTCAAGGTTTTACAGTTTGCGTAACGTGTGTCTTTTTTAAGGCTTTGTGCCACAGACCCTTCATCACCGGTGCTTGCACCTACTGTGAGGGTGTGGCCCACAGCACGGAAGGCCACTGTGAACGCATTCCTGAGGGGGACAGACACTGACCTCTGCTGCTTCAGCCTGTTAAGACTGTGACCAACACCCTCCCATCAGCTCCATTAACTTTCCTTCCTCTACAAAACAATAATACGAAGTAGTGGGAAGTTCCCAGCATCACTCCCGTTCCTCAAGGCAAGAAAGGAAAAACAGGCTTCTTCCTGGGTAGTTTTCTTCCTTTTGTCCAGGAAACCCCAATAGTCCACAGTTCAAATGGCGGTTGTAGTGAAACATCTTTCAGATTAAATAGTGTTGAGAGAAGTGGCGATCTTTTGGTTGGCCCTTTTAGAAGAGGTTAGATTGGAGAGGTTAACGTGGGGAAAACGCCACTGAATGAAGAGCCCCCAGCAGGAGTGGTGTGGCTGGTGAGGGTTGGGGGCAGGGCGAGGGGTCCGGCCTTGGGTGTGAAGTCCGAGGGAAGAGACTCCAGCAGACACTTGACCTGCTCTTGGCCCAGCTTTATCTTGTCGTCCAGCTTGCGCTGCTCGATGAGGAGTGTGGACTTCATCTTCACAAAGTGCTGGTAGTCCTGGAGCTGCTCGGCCGACAGGTAATTGGCCAGGATGTCCAGGACCACACGCTCCCTGCGGTCAAGGTTGTCCTTGAGCTCCCTGGCATCCTCGTGCTGCCCAGTGAGTACAGGGAGGGCGGTGGGCCAGGCTCCTGCATGCCACCTTTTATAGGACTGCAGAAGACCCACACCTCTCTTTACTCTTAAAAAAAATTTCTGTTCACACTTTTAAAAAAGATTTTTATGTGTACGAGTGTTTTGCCTACATGTATGTAAGTGTACCACATGCGTGCCTGGTGCCTGTAGGGGCCAGAAGATGGTGTCGGATCCCCTGGAACTGCGATTGTTAGCTGCCATGTGGGTGCTGGGAAACAAACCCAGGTCCTCTGCAAGAGCAGCCAGTGTGCGCTTAACCACTGAGCCATCTCTCCAGCCCCCTCCTTTTACATTTTTTTAAAGCTTAAGGATCTCTCCCTAATTCATAACAACAATGGCAATATATTTCCCATCTCTAAAGAAAAAATTTGTTTTTTTTTCAGGTTTTTTTAGGTCTCTACTCAAAAATAAAATCTGTCTAACAATGCTGTTTTCATATTCTGAGAGATTCTTAACACAAGCCTGGGGGTAAGGCAGTCTATCTCCTTAGAGCTAGGAGACTTTCTAGAAATACTTCATGTGTTTTTGTATCCAGCATGCTGACATATCATAAATGTCATAACAAGTTATTGGAAAAATTTTAATAGTTTTTTGAAATTTTCAGGCCAAAATAATAAAAATTAAAATGAAATTCAATCATGAAATATGATGACTTAAATATCTCTCAAAATAAATGATCATATTTAGGATTATCAAAGGCTCAAGTATCTCTGCCATAAATCCCCCCAAACTAGCCTGTCAAATCTTATGTAATAATGCCTAGGGGAAAGTATAAAGTTAAAAGGTGAATTTTATAAATCTCTCCATCTTCACAGGCTTCTTTCCTCTTATCAAAAACAAAAACTAAAAAAGAAACAAAAACAACTAATACAGCTCAGAGGCAATAAATTTAAAAAGCCACAACATCTAACTTACTTTACAAAAATTCTGAGGCCCCATTCTGTGCACTCATCATCAATGGGGTCAAATCTTCACATGAACAGTTCCCCAACATATGTCAGATTAAAAATCTTTAAAAAACTGGAGAATCTGAAGATTTGTAGACATTCCTCCCCAATCCCAGTATCTACTACCTGAAACTAACATGCTGAATTTGGCATTTACTGGGGCACTTATTCTTCCTTTTATTTCTACTTATACTTTTTGTTTGTTAGAAGACAGGGTCTCCCGGTAGTCCCTGTTAGTCAGCTCACTATGTAGACCAGGCTGGCCTCAATCTCAGAGATCTGCCTGCCTCTGTCTCCCTAATGTAGGGATTAAAGATGTGTGCCACCACACCTAGTACTTTTTGTTTCTTAAAGAGGCCAATCATGACAGAAAACTAATGATTCAGCATCATAAGGATACAGGAGATGGCATGGAAGCATGAAACTGTGTCTATCACAACGCAGTTCGTGAATTTCATTCAGCAAGACCAGCACTATCCTTACCTGTTCCCTTCATTCCAGGTGGGGTGAGGAGTCATTTGCGTCTACCTACTACTCAGTGTCTGGGCCCCTCCAATGCAGATTCCCTAGAGCTTATATACCTCCACCCACCATCCCAAATAGTTTTGTGAGCTCTCTCTTTAAAAAAAAAAAAAAAAAAAAAAGTTTTTATTTTTTGACACAGCATCTCACTACACAGCCCTGGCTAGCCTAAAACTCACTATGTAGACCAGGCTGGCCTCAAACTCAGATCTGCCTGCCTCTGCCTCTCAAGTGCTGGATTAAAGGTGTGCACCACCACACCTGGCTCCCTCTATCTCTTTTAAATGTCCATCTGTCATATTTTTATCTGTTTAAAGAAGGAAGAGGACTGGGAATAGAGAAACTTGGGTACTTATAAATTTACTTTCCCAGTATTCTTTCAGCCCTAAATGTCAGCATTGCATTTTGACATGGAAGATGCTCTGCCAGCTGCAAAGTGACTGTAACCTCTGGAGAAGGGATTGTGTCTAAAGGCACCTTTCTATGGACAAGGCTCAGAGGGAAACCTGTGAACTGAGTTGCTAGGCCACATACCCTTTCTTCATTAGTAGCATCTTCACCAAGGCCACTAAGGACATTCTCCACACGGGCAAGGCGTCCGGAAAGAGAGAGCAGCAGGTTAACCACCTTGTCCAAGTCCCCTATGAACATCCTGTATTTGTCAAACTCGTTGGGCTTGCAGAGCTCACTGATCAAAGCCTCCACCTCTTCTCCCAAGGCGTTGTTAAGCTTGATGTCCATGAGAAGACTCCCTTTTGCTTCCTGGAGAGTCTCAAGTTTGTGTGTGAGGCTTCCAATGAGCTCAGCCTGAAACGACAGAAGAGATGCATGCTAAGATGAGCCAGCAGCCATCAAGGTAAGCAGGACTGACACGTCCCAGCCCCAGTGCTGCCTTCAAGGCTCAGCTGAAAGCTCCCCTACCCTAGGACTGATCCCCCAACATCCAAACATAATATTCTTACCTTCCCCCAAATGTCTACAACTGCTATTCTTTGAATCAATTTAGTGCTCACAGGCCTGATGATACATCATCTCATCATGTTTCCAGATTGTGTCATGGTGTATACAGCTCTGCCTTTTCAACTGGCTTGTTTAAACTACTCACTGAAAGGCCATTTCTGACATGTTCTAATTTGATACAGGCAAGCAGGCAGGGAGGGGGTAAACATCCTTGCTTACAAATGGGAGTCCATGAAACAGGGGAAGGGACTTGCCCATGGTCTTTACTCCAAGCTAAACAGGCCTCTCCACTGACTGGCTCATCAAATCTTTCTAACAACCTCACAGACACTAGTCTAGCCATATACTACAGTTGGTAATGGAAAGACTTAGAGAGGTAACATGACTGCCTAGGACATGTGCACCATTAATTGGGCTGCCTTGAACTTGGGTCAGGCTTATATAATCACTACAAATATTGATACCAGGACTTCATCAGAAAGTCAGCTGGCTCTAGTTATCAGGGACATAAAATAGAAGCCCCTACTTAAGAAATGTCTGGACTTATAAAGTAGGTCTACACAAGTATCCTCTGTATGTGTGTATTTTGTTGCTTTGGTTTCTGTTTTTTTGAGATAGTGTCTCATGGAGCCCAGGGTGGCCTGAATTTTCGGCATAGCAGAGGATAACCTTGAAATGATGAGTCTCCTGCCTCTAGCTCCCAAGTGAACCACCATGTCCAGCAATATTCATTATACTTAACTAAAGGAATACAGTGAATGTCTTCTAGCTTTCAGGTCTGACTTCATTTCTATTAATGTCTGCTATTCCTTTGCTGTAAGAGAAACTGCACTACAGTTTTCATGATTAGCCTTTCATCTTTCTCTTACCTAACGTAGGCAGATGGAAAAAGGAACATTACTACTAAAAATGTTCTAGCTTAAGGGCAAGGGATATAGCTCAGGTTAGGGCAGGTAGTAGAGAGTGCATGTCCAGCATACACAGGCCTTGGGTTTGATTCCCAGCACAAACAAACAAACAAACAAATAAATAAAACAGATTTTACCTACAACAAACACACATACACTTTAAGGCCAAGTTGTAAGGCTCCAACTGAAAACTTGATTAAAAAACTAAGATTACAATTCTGGGAGCTTTGCTATGTGGTCCAGGTTGGCTTGGAAAACACAATGCAGGCTATGAATTTGTGCCAATTCTCCTGCCTCTGCCTGCTAGCACTGGGATTACAGGTATGCAACACTCTGCCTAGCCTTGGAAAAAAGGGTTGGAGGAGGATAGAGGGCAATAACCAGGGGAAAATACCAGTGGTTTTGTCTAGTAGAACTGAAGGATTCTAAAACCCTTTTGCATTAGCTCTTTAACATGATCAGCATTAGGAATATATGCACTGAGATAGGGAAATACTATTTCTCCACAACTTGCCATCTGGGAGGCAGAACTTCAGAAGTTCTTCAGTGTGAGGGTTGTAAGGTCCTTGAAATACCCATGCTCTGGTTTGAATAGTGTCATCCTATTATTAGCCTTTCAACTTGCCTAATCCCAGTGGCTACAGGTGGCTAAAAAAATTGATACCTGTTGCCTCATTACTGGAAAAAGTGTGCAGTGTCTCAGCACTAACTCCAACTGAAGGTGCTGAACCAAGAAAAACACAAACGGGGAAAATATTGTTTAAGGTTAACTAGTTTTCTTTATTTTATCCACTTTGGGGGGAAAAAAGCACCTCTGGTTGCCAGCCACGGGGTTGCCAGTAAGGCAGAGCAGTAGATATCACCAGAAAAATGCCTACCAAGGAGTGCTCAGCTTTTAGTGCATTCATGAGGAGAAGAACAAGAACACTGTGACAGGAAACAGTAGGAAAAGCAAATGGTGTGTCTGTTAGGTCACCTGGCATCCCCAGAACAGGGTCAGGACTACCAAAGGTCATTACTGCTGTCTTCAGATAGATTAATGAGAGGCCGACAGCTACATGACGTCAGCCCTGGTGTTCTGAACCATGTAGTAGTGTACAGCTGATAGGGGTTGGCACTCTAAATATTAGTAGACATTGCCTTCTTGTAGAAAACTGGATTATAGCTAGGCATGGTAGTAAACTCTTGTAATCTGAGTACTTGGAAGGCAGAGGCAGGAGGATGGCTACAAGTCCAAGGCTAGCCTGGTCTAAAGAGTGTGTTCCAGGCCAGCCAGAGATACTTAGCAAGACCTGGCCTTAAAAAACAAAACAGGGCCATCAAGATGGGCTTGCTGGTAAAGTGCTTACAATGAAAGCCTGATGACTTAAATTCAATCTACAGAACCATGTGAAGCAGGAGAGAGAACCGACTTCACAGTTGTCCTCTGATCTCCATGTGAGCCCCATGGCACATGTGCCCCCCCAACACACACTCAAATAATAATAAAATTAAAAACCAGTTAAAAGCTGGGCGTGGTGGGGCATGCATGCTTTTAATCCAAGAACTCTGTGAGTTCAAGGCCACCCTGGTCTACATAGTGAGTTGCAGGCCACCTGGGGCTACAGGGAGATCCTGTCTCAAGAAGACGAAAAAAAAAAAACAAAAAAAAAAACCCCAAACATCCAGATTATAACTACAACATGCCATCCAATTTCAGGAAAAGGCTTTCTTATTGTTCAAAATAAAAATTATCTTGGGGGCGCTGGAGAGACGGCTCAGTAGTTAAGAGCACTGACTGCTCTTGCAGAGAACCTGGATTTGATTCCCAGGTGGGCACTGCATGACATGGGTGCACTTACACACATGCAGGCAATACACTCATACACATAAAATAAAAAATAATAAAATATTTAAAAAATTATTTTTGGAGACAGGGTCTCACTACATCGACTACCCTGGCCTCAAAGTCACAGAGATCCATCTGCCTGCCTTTGTCTCCTAAGTACTGGGAATAAAGGCATGTGTGACCATGCAAGGCCCTTGTTCAAAGTTTTGACATCTGTTTTAACCTCACATCTTTAGACATTAAATTTCTATAAAATGCTTTGAAAAAAAGGAATAATTGTATTAAAAAAAGATGGTAATAGCCTCATGGTTTATTATTTCTCTAAATATGACTTCTTTTGAAACTAACATTGTATACTATTCTTCCTGGAGGGAATCAAAACACTTTAACATTAGCTGATGTATTAAAAATAATCCTTACTGGAGCTGGAAAGTTGGCTTGGCCATTAAGAGTGCTTACTATCTTATAGAGGATCATGATTTAGTTCCCAGCACCCATATTAGGTGGCTCACAAAAATAATCCTACAAGGCTTTCAGAACTGGCATTTTAAGGGACAAGTGTGATGATTACCACTTTGCACACGAGCAGTTTGCCTTCACATGCAGGGTGGGTGTGAAAAGGGAGTTGCATTCTCCTGCTGGTCTGCTGGCCTCAGCTCACCAGTTCTCAGGCTCTGCAAAGATGGGCGGTGCTGACAGGGTGGCTATGGGAGACAGGGCAGCCCAGCGTCTGCAGACTCACACTCCTGACCCAGCTCTGTTTTCCAAAGGTGTCAATGCTGGGCAGAACCACAAATACATCATAGGAGCCTGTGTGTATTCTAGGCTTCATGGTCTGATGATGGACGGAGGAACTGAAAATGTCCAGGAGAGGTCCAGGGAGGCTGCGATGGCATTCTGACCTCTGAAAGCCATGCAAGTGCTACTGAGCAGTCACTTGGATCAGGCTTAGCTCACTGTTGCATAAGTGGGTAGAATTTAATGTTTTGTTGTTGTTTTTTTTTTAATTCTACCAAGTCCTTAAATATGGAAATCTGGATTTTAAAATGCAGTGATGAGGGATGTAAGTAACTGAAGGCAACAGGGGTAAGTTGGCTATACCAAAGTCAATTCTTTGACAGGCGTAAGTCTTTTTTAAAAAACAACAACAAAGGAACTGGAGAGATGGATCCCTGTTGAGAGCATGCAATGCTCTTGTAGAGGACCTGGGTTCAGTTCCCAGCACCCACATCAGGTGGCTTACAACCACCTGTAACTCTAGCTCCAGGGGAATTTCAGGTCTCTGTCTTCCTCAGGTACCTGAACTCATTTGTCCATAAACATACACAGACAGAGACAGAGACAGAGACACACACATACCATACACACAGAATTAAAATGTATTAAAAATAAATCTTTAAAAAAACAAAAAGCTAATTTCAACCTGCAGAATTCAGAGAGAGAGAGAGAGAGAGATTGATTTAATAATACACTAGTCTAGTAGCTCCTAGTCACAGGAGCTACTTAATTTGTGAAACCACTGACATTTATCCACCAAACTTCGCATCTGGCATCAACTGTTAACTCAGGCTGTGTGAGGTGCTATTTATAAGGGCTCTTTTTCTAAACATAGTTCAACACACCCTTCCTCCTACCTCACCATCTGCACATGAAATATACTGCTGAGCTTTCTCCTCCTCTTATCACCAGATGAAGAGTGACTGTGAGTCAGAGACCAGGCTCTGACATGGTCACCAACGGGCAGTCACTTGACCTGTGCCGTCAGCCACCCACAGCAAGGGGATAACACCATCTGCCTAAAACTAACAATCAAGTCTTCATTAGTGAGCTCATTCTTTATGCCAGGCAGTTCAGCATCTTACTACTCAGTCACTACAAAACCCACTGAGACAGGTGCTATTATCCTTGCCTCACTGATGAGCAAAGTGGGGTGGACAGAAGTTACGGAACCTGCCCACGCCTATACAGTAAGTGGCACAGCCAGGCTTATACAAGGCTGTCTGGCCTCAGGGCACTGACTTTTAATCACTACATTAAAAGAACTCACAGGAATGTTATGAAGCTCAAATGAAGTAAAGATTGAAAAAGCATTTTCAGAACAGAAACATATT